TTTTTAAATGCCAGTGAGGTATGAACACCGGTAACTCACGTGGGGGTAGGCTGCATCCCCTCCCTGCGTCAGAAATGCCTCTTCTTTCCCTGCCGCACGTTCCTGCCATTTTTCCTTATGTTGGACGCAAATCCCTGCAGCTCTGTTCCAGAACTCAGCATTCTTGGTGCAGTGATTCTGAGTGAGGTACTTTCTTCTGTGGTACTTTCTCCCCTCTCTGCTTCTCTGGAACTTGGAGCTGTTCACCCCTTGGTTACATTTGTTCGTTCATTTGTTGAAAAGAATACTCTGGAGCTGGCATATTGCAGGTGCTGTGCTGGGTGCCGGGCCCCAGCGCGGAGCGGGCTGTCCTGCCTCGCAGGGGGTCTTGGCTAAATGTGTCTGACTCTGTTGTGTGAGGTCTCTCCTTCGCCCCGCTGCAGTACGCTCCGTGAGGACACAGACCATGTCTTGTTGCAAGGATCCAGCTTTGACATTTCAGTACACGGCAGACAGCACATTCTTGGTGACCGTGGGCTGAGTTTGGAGGTGGATGCTGATGATTTTAAAGTTTCTCCTTTCCAAGCTGTAAGATGAGGTAACTGCCTTCCTTTTCAGGAGGGTGCAGTTAATGCAAAACGTGATCATGTATGTTTCCCCCCTTAGAAAGGCAGGTAATACCTCAGGGGAAGTTATCACTCACCTTCGTTTCCTGCTCCACCTATTTCTGTTCTCATCGTCTCTGAGCCCGTTTGTACCACTGGCTTCTGCCCTCTCTGCCTGCCCTGCTCTCTCCTTCCTTCCTTAGAGGTGGGGGGGAAGCATGACTAAAAATCCTCGTGTGTCGGGGTGCTTGGGTGGCTCAGTTGGTTAAGCGTCTGCCTTCAGCTCAGGTCATGATCCCAGGGTCCTGGGATCCAGCCCCACCTTGGGCTCCCTGCTCAGTGGGGAGTCTGCTTCTCCCTCTGACCCTCCCCCCACCCACGTGCATGAGCGTGCTCTCTCTCTCTCTCTCAAATAAAATCTTAAAAAAAAAAAGAAAAGAAAATGCCACTGTCACTCTCAGCATGTCCCTCTGTCAATATGTGTGCATATACGGGGACGGACTGTCTCCACACGGAGAACTTGACTGCACGCTTGGCAGGAACACCCGCTCTGTGTGTGTTCATGAGCTCTCTGTCACTTCTGGTCCTCCTGCACATGTGTTCTTCCTGAGTCATAAGCATCTCTGACCATAAGAAAAGAGTTTTCTTAGGTTAAAGCCAGTATTCTAGCCCCTGCTGCACTGTGTGGGTCCAGGTGACTGATAAAACAGCAGGATTTGCACACTGAGGCAATCTGCCCTCTGTAATACCTGGTTGACAATGCCATAGAATCAGTGCAGAGATGAAGTTTTTAGAGAGAGACATGGTGTGGCTGGTTTGGGAGGGTAAGGGACGAAACGGAGTCCCGAACAGCATAAGTGCTGAGCGTCTTTGCCTATGTCAATATCTCTTTTCCCCCTTGCCCGTTCACCATTACAAAAACAAAAGACATTGGGAGAACTTCATGTCGGGTGAATGGCAGGGAGAAGCTTCTAGTAACATACTGTGGCAGAATCTGGTCTTCTTTTGAAGGGGCTTAATGTACAGTAAGCTAGGTCTCCCCTGAAAAGCAGGAACATTAACCTTTGTGGGCCTGAATTTTTGTTTTTTAACTAACCTTAAATTGGAGGCTCTTCTCTAGGTAGCAAAGTCTTCTGTGTGCACAGACTAATAAAGACATTATTTACTGAGTTTTCGTCATTGTGATGGAAACAAAATGAGGAGCTGCCTTCTGAGATGTGCTGAAACTCCTCAGGAGGTGGGAGGTGCTGGAGGGTCAAGCTCAGTTTACTGGAGGTCAGGTTACTGGTGGTCAGATTCAGGGAGCAGCTCATTCCTCCCTGGGAAGCCTGGCACTTCCTCTGTCCCCCTTTCACAGATCCCTCCTACCCCAGAGCCTTAAGCCATTTCACTCCACTTCTGAGCGTCATTGTTTATTCAGACTCATCACTGTGTAACTAAGTGGAGAGAAAATTGGTCCTAAATTAATGGAATTGCAGAGAGAACCCTGTTGGATTAGCTGACAAGCTGCCAGGTGGAAGAGAAGGAAAAACCCGGGTCTAGCACAGGCCTCGTGCTCAGTCTAGTTCTCCCTGAGCTGAAGAGTTGGTCAGGGGAGGTGGAGCAGGGGGCCATGTGTGTTTATTCAGTCAGCCTGCACTGACTGAGTGCCTGGTGATGGGGCGGGCCCATGTAACCTCCCCACAGCGTCCTCATCCTAGAAGGGGAGATGGGCCATGTGGAGGAAAGAACGGGATTGCTCAAAGCCACAGGAGAGATTTGAGCAGGATGGCGGCACTAAATCCTAACTACATTCTGGTTTGGCCTGGGAAGAAATGGTTCAGCCTGTTTCTTACAGAGGTGACTCTTGAACCGGCTCTTTAAAGAGGGGTGTTAACCAGGCGGACAAAGGGTAGGGGTAGGGGCCAAGGAATGCCTACAGGTATCCTCCAAAAAAAGTCATTTCAGCAGGTCTTTGCAAAAACAAAGATCCTCATTTTGAGACTCTCTTAGCATAGCAAATATAGGGGGGTCTGTGTCTGTTTTTGTAAGTAAAGTTTTATTGGAACACAGCCACACCTATTCATTCCCCTATTAAATGGGGTTGCTTTCCTGCTACAACCAGGAGTGGCAAAGCTGGGCAGACACAGTGTGGCCTGCCAAGCCTCATATTTACTGTCTGTTCGTTCGCATAAAAGGTTTGCCAACCCTTGGCATAACAGATTGTTATTCCTTGAAAGTCTTTATGAAAAGGACCCACACTGTCAGCGACCAGGCTTTGATGGCAGGACTTCATGGACTTACTGGTTTATTTTACCAGCCGGTGATTTCTCTTCAGTCCACTCTACCGCACCTCCAACTCTGTAATCTCTAGTTTCCATAATTTCTGGCTCTGAATGTCTGGAACTATAATAGTGCTTAGAGTGTGCAGGGCAGGGGGGCATTTCTCCCTAAGCATACCCTTAAATGTCCTGTTACCCCAACCCTCAGCTGTTTCAGACTCTGCTTACTTTCTTGGAACCTATGCTGCTTATTTGCTTGGTAAATGTTGCCAAGCAAAATCCGAAACAAAAATAGGATCAGCAGTCATTGAAAAGCATCTCTGTTCTTTGGGGAGGCATCTGTTAGTGGGTTCTGGAGCTCGCTGGCCCCCTTACAAGTGAGAGAGAAGGGGGTTGCTGTAGGGAGATCTACCACCTCGAGCCTGCATTCATTTCAAAACCACGGAGAATGCGTTTCCAGAAGATCTGTGCTTTTGAAATACTGTTTTCCTAGATACATTGAGTGTAAGTTGTGTGGAATTATATAGCAAATGCCAACTTTTTAAGCACCTACTACGGTCTGTAGTGAGAGTCCGCTGTTGGGAGTGCCAGACTAGACTTTTTACAAATATTAACTTATTGAGTAAGAGCTGGATGAAGCAGAGATGCACTTATTTCAGTTTTACAAGATGGAGAAACAGAGGCTCTGACACGCTAAGTATCTTCCGTATTAACTACTAAATGACACCACCTGCAATCCATGATAAGGAGGATATTGATTCTATGCTCTAGTTAATGTGAGTAGCTGGTGGAATGTTGCTGAAAATGCTGAATCAAGAGGCAAAGCATCTCTCTGTTTCAGACTGTCAAAAGAACTAATTTTCAAGGACAGGTACAGCTTTTGTTTTAGCCCCAGCAGCTACCAACCTCATTTAAATACCACTGTCAAATGATACTGTAGTTTGGGATCTAATTTCTCATTAGCACTTTGTATAGAAAACTGTTGGCAGTAAGTAATGGTGACATTTTCCAAGCATGTCTGAAAAATATTGTTGGTCCCCGAAGAGAAGCATGTAGGTTTAGAGTTGTCCCAGTTTCCAGCTGAAATGATGATTCCTAAACATCAGTCTGATCTTAACCTTCCCTTCTTAAAAGCATTCAGTGCTCTGCCATGCCCTTAGCTTAAAGATGAAAGTCTTTACTAGGGTGCTTGCCAGAGGCCTTTCTGGTGTGGGCCCTGCCTGAGCTCCTGTCTGACCACTCGGTACCTCCCACTTTGGCATTCCCCTCGGAGCGTGTCCCTGCATTTGGGCCTCCCCAGTTCCTCAGACACCATCTCCAGCTGGCCCCTTCACCTGATGCACTCCTGCTTCTTAGCTGAGATGTCACTAGATCCAGGAAGCCTTCTTTGAGCCTGGAGACTGGTGTGCGTGCCCTGCCCTTGGTCTGCTCTAACATAATGTCTGTTACACTGCTGTTCAGTGGTTTACATATTTGTCTGTTGTCTACCACTAAACAGTAAGCTTTTTAGTTTCTTTTTAGTTTTGACTCTGTCATCAAAAGGCATCGGAATCCACTTGAGCTAACTAATAGAGGGGGAGTTGATCTGTGAGGAAATACCTGAAGCAATAAGGAGATCTCTGTAGAAATTTAAGGACCAGGTCCCTAAGGAGCTGTCCCTCACAGATGTGTCTGGTGGCTTTCTCCTTCTCTGCACACCAGCTCTGTTTGCCTGTCTTTAGCCGGCTGCTCAGTTCAAGCACATGTCCTGAAGCTGCTCCTGACCTCAGTCTGTCTGTGTAGCTTAGCATGGCCCTGCCAGCCCTGCTGGTCCTTCCTCATCTCATGGCTCCATTGCCTGGTCTCCATTTGTTTGGATTCTGTTGCCCAGTTGCAAATTTCCCAGCAAGCACTGTGATTGGTATAGCTCATCCTTTCAAGAGAGGCCACATGCCTCATTGGTCTCTGGCCATCCAGCAGGTGGGCTGTCCTTGGGTCGGGTCCTTGCTGCAGACCAGCTAGACCTGCGGCCCGCTGGAGGGGTTCCACGGGTCAGAGCATGGCTCCCAGTATAGACTTCCTTTTTCTGTTTCTTTCCCTGCCCCTTGCTTGCAAGGGTGTTAGGTTTGTGTTTCATGAACTTTATGGTATCCTTTGTTCTCTTTCATCTTTACAGATATCATTAATGGAGCTCAAGAAAAATGTGTATTGCCTCCTATGGATGGCTACCCCCACTGTGAGGGGAAAATCAAGGTAAGGCAGAAGTAACGTCTGTTCATTCCCATCATCTTCAGTCTGCACCGATACCCTCTTCCTTCCCCTCCCCTCTCTGGAACCCCCCAGTAACACAGATGGCAAGCAAGCCCCTTAAGGGAGTCATTTCAGGGGTGCCTCAATCCTACCGGTTTGGGGCTGTGGCCAGGACAACCCTTGTCTGCTTATGCCAACTCCATGGGGTTAGTCAACAATGTCTCTAACTGGTCAGACTGAAGGAGCCTGGACCACTTCGGGTGCCTCCTGTGTCTTTGAAGCTGCCTTCCCCTGGCGTTCCCAGCCTCCAGCATATGACCCTTCAAGGGCCATTGACAAGGGGCTGCCATTATGTAGGGTCCAGCTTCCCTCTCCCCCAGTCCCCAGGCCCCTGCCATGAGGTCTCCAGATTGTGATTTAAATGTCACATTAGCATTTGCAGCTGAGTAACCAGAGACCCTTGAGACACTCTTTCACTCTGAACATTTTTTTAAAAAATCCTTTTCATATGGCTTGCTGGTATGCAAGAGACCACTCCACTGCTCAGCAGTTTTCAGAGAAAAAGTCTTGGTTCCGATGTTTGCTTAGGATGCTGAGACCAAACCCCAGAAGCATTTGCATGGTTCCTGTTCGGGACTCATGCGTGCCTTACACACCTTGCACGCCTGCATTCACGCTCTCTTGTTCCAGGCCCGGTACTGGAGCCTGTGAAACTGTAGCTCTTTGGGGAGAACTGTAATTCTCTTGGTTTTGACGCAGGGGTCCCCTTAGGCAGTTGTTCTTGATGAAAGTCCCCTGGCCACTGCCTGTCCTGGGCTTTACTGCCCTGTCTGTCTTGCAGCCCTCCTGTACCCTGAGCACCTCTGCTTAAGGCCCAGCTCAAGCCAGTGTCTCCCTGTGGATCATCTAGGAACTGGGCATCGGTTGTCCTGACCTCAGCTCAGTGACTCTGAGCCCCAGTCTGAGCAACTCACTGCTCCTTGCCCCTCATACCCTTGCCTTCTCTGTCAGCGGATGTGCGGGGCCACCGGTAACGGGCTGCTTATCAATGTCCTTACCTGGCTCTTGTCATTTCAGTGGATGAAAGATATGTGGCGCTCGGATCCCTGCTACGCAGAATACGGAGTGGATGGGTCCACCTGCTCTTTTTTTATTTACCTCAGTGAGGTGAGTCACTTCTCTGGCTCTGGGGTGTGGAAAGGTGTGCTTAGTCAGTTTTGCAGCTGAGCCTGGAATTCGAAAAGTCGAGAAACGTGCGCTGTTTTTACATGGTGGACCTGTGGCTCCCTTCTTCATTATTTTCCCCTGCTCCTAAATGGGATGATTTCTTTTTCCTTGAGGGGAAAAAACAAGCTGATGTAGCTGTTTATATTTTCTTCCCCCGATTAAAAAAAAAAAGTCTAGTAAGATACATGTAACATAAAATTTTCCATCTCGACCATTTAGTGGGAATTAAGTACCTTCATGTTGATACACAACCATCACCAGCATCCATCTCCTGAACAATTCATCTTGCAAACCTGAAACACTACCCGTTAAACAGTGACTCCCCATTCCCCCCTTCCTCCAGCCCCTGAACACAACCATTCTAATTTGTCTCACTGATTTTGACTACTCTCACTACTCCTATAATTTATACAGCATTTGCCTGTTTGTGACTGCCTTATTTCAGTTAACTTGATGTACTCAAGATTCATTCATGTTTATAGTGTATCAGAATTTCCTTCTCTTTCAAGGCTGAGTAGTATTCCATTGTGTTATACCACCATTTGCTTATCCATTTATCCGTTGATGGATACTTGGGTTACTTCCACCTTGTAAATATTGTGAATAATGCTGCTGTGAACATGGGTGTGCACACAACTCTTTGAGACTCTGCTTTCAGTTCCTTTGGGTGTATATCCAGAAGTGGAATGGCTGAATCATATGGTAATTCTGTTCCTATTTTTTTTGAGGAACCACCAAACTTCTCCAAAGCGATGGCTCCATTTTACCTTCCTACCAGCAACACATGAGGGTTCTAAGATTCTCCACATCCTAGTCAACACTTGTTGTTTTCTGTTTTGTCATAGTAGCTATGCTAACAGGTGTGCAATGGTATTTGATTGTGGTTTGGTTTGCATTTTCGTAATGATCAGTGATGTCGAGCATCTTTTTCATGTGCTTTTTGGCTGAGTTAGCTATTTCTTACAAGCTGAGTTATTTACTTTTACCTTTTTTTTAAATCTTTTTAGCTGAGCCTTATTTTCGTTTCTACCCTTAAATTCAAATAGCAGCTTTTTTTTAAGGGTTGCAGGACATTTTATGGGCCACATGGAATTTGCGTGTTGTGTGCTTCGATGATTTCAGTTTCACCTTGAGGAAAATGGAGGGGGTGGGGCAGAGTTAAGACTGTATGGGGCAAGAACAGGGGAAGAACTGAGTAGGGAATCAGAAGCCGGCTTCCCCTCCACCCTTGATGGACAAAGGCAGCACTAGGGCCTTGTGAAATGGGTGCTGGCTAATTTCAGAGGGTATATACTGGGGTGTGCTATTGCTGTTTGACCAGTAGTTAACACCAGCTCCCTGGTGCTACCACGCAGGAAAGAGAATGCCTCCATTTTGAGGCTAATGACGTACTTCTGCAGTCATTTTTCGCATGAGACTCCGGCACCTCTCCTCTGTGTCACAGGGGGACAGGGGACAACTTTTAGGGATGGAGGCTAAACCAGTACATGTGGCCTTGAATTCTGTGGGGTTTGTCCCTTTCCTTTACCTTTATGTCTCTTTCCCTTTTGAGAGCCACTCAGACTTTTTTTGTTTTATGTGGTTGCCCTATGGCCACCCCATGGCCATCGTGAAGAGGCCTCAGAGCTAATGATAGTTGAATTATCTCTTGGAAATTAAAAGCACGGTGAGTTGGCTGTGTGATGCTCCCCATTAGCAGGCTGATGGCAAATTAATTGTAGCATTTATTTGAGTGTGGTTTGGGCTGGGGTAGCCTGTGGCCCACCTTCTCATTTCCTTCTCCAGAGGAGTAAGGCCTGGGGCCCTGGGTGAACCTGCGTTCCAATGGGAAGTCAATTAGAAGCACCTTCCCTGCCCCGAGGAAAAGGTTCCTTCTTCAGTTTAATTTTCAAAAGTTTCCTTCCCCTTTCCATTTGGTAGAATTTAGCCAGAGTCCAGCTGTGCTCCCTGATTGACGGACTGGGCTAATTTCACGCCTTCCTGAGACTCTCCATGTTGGGCGTACTGCTGAGGTACAGCTAGAGAATTGCATCCCACTCCAGCCTTCCCTCCGTCTCCCGAGCCAGAGCCGGGAAGGTGTGGGAGAACGGTCCAGATGGGAAGGGACTGCGATTATCTGTGACCTAGTTCCCTTCCTGTGAAGCTGCCGCCCGGCCCCACTCACAGTGGAGGAAGGATGTGGCTAAGATGAGAACAGGGAGCCTCTAGTGACTGTGGGGCAGATGGGGCTGTGGAAAAGTGTGATGGATCACGTGCTCTTAACACTGGGGCAGGCGTGTCTCACTTCAGAACCCGTAACTATTTTTCCTCTCTCCAAGGTGTGGAATGGTGCTTTCTTTGCCTTTTTCTCTCTCTCCTCATGCAGAGGATCGGGCTTTTCTTTCTGTTCAGCTGAATTCAGTTCAGTGATCACTTACCGAAAGTCTGTCATATACATTGGATGTCAACAATTGGTGAGAACTCCGTTTTTTGGCACTACGATGTGCCCTCAGGATGAGCCTAATGGAAGAAGAAGAATGGATGCAGGTAGCGGAGCCAGAACAGGGTGGAGCGAGTTTCCCTACAGACAGAACTAGGAACTTCTTTTTTTTTTTTTTTTAAATATTTCATTTATTTATTTGACAGAGACAGAGATAGCGAGAGCAGGAACACAAGCAGGGGGAGTGGGAGAGAGAGAAGCAGGCTTCCCGCGGAGCAGGGAGCCCGATGTGGGGCTCGATCCCAGGACCCTGGGATCATGACCTGAGCCGAAGGCAGACGCTTAATGACTGAGCCACCCAGGCGCCCCTAGGAACTTCTTTTTAATTTAAATCTGAAAATAACCTCGAGACTCTGGCCTTTTAAAAAAAAAAAATGCATTTTGAGGTACCTGGGTGGCTCAGTCAGCTGAGCGGCTGCCTTTGGCTTAGGTCATGATCCCAGGGTTCTGGGATCAAGCCCCGCATCGGGCTCCCTGCCCAGCAGGGAGTCTGCTTCTCCCTCTTCCTCTGCTTCTCCCCCCTGCTTGTGCTGTCTGAAATAAATAAATAAAATCTTTTCAAAAATTGCATTTTATTGTAGCATCTTAATAGGTACTCTGTGAGAGTTGGAGGAGACTCTCACCACTGTGGCCTCTTGGACGAGAACTACTGCCTTAGAGCCTCATCCCCGAGGTCACACTGGTTTTGATGCTTTCTAAACACTATACTTCTGGACAAGTTACTTACCCTCTTTGTGCCTCATGTTCTTCCTTTATAAAATAATGTTTTTAACTTTGTTTTTTATCTTTTTTTATTTTTTAAAGATTTCATCTACTTATTTGACAGAGAGATAGAGCCAGAGAGCACAAGCAGAGGGAATGGAAGAGGGAGAGGGAGAGGGAGAAGCAGGCTCTGCACTGCTCTGCACTGTGGGGCTCAATCCCAGGCCCCTGGGATCATGACCTGAGCCGAAGGCAGATGCTTAACCATCTGAGCCACCCAGGCGCCCCAACTTTTTTAAAGGATTCGGCTGTGATGATTCCTGAGTGTCTATGGGAACGTGCGTAGAATAGAGCCAGGCAGATAGATGACACTCAATAAACCCAATTGAGGCCTTTATGGTTTTTGATGTTGTCATTATTTGCGGACCGTTAGGGGGCGTTTTTATGTGGGAATTTGGTTTTGTTTTACAATTAGAACCAATTTCTGGTTCTAACTCTAATTTAATTTTAGATCCTTTGATTTCTGGTGATGTAGAAATGCAGCTGTTACCCTTAACTTCGTTTTTCTGCATATGATGCTCGTGTTTGCATTGGAACTTGGAGCTGGCTGGCTGGAGCGGCAGTGTGCCCCTTGCCACCATTAATTTGAAATGACCAGAGGTGGTTTTTAAAGCCAATTAATTCTGTACTGGTATTTTTTTTTAATTCTGGATAGCATCCGTGTCTCTAGAGTGCTGTTTTTGGTCTAGGTTTTTGTTTTGCTTTGTTTTCCCTCTTGCTTTTCCTTGAAACCTTTCTCCTTTTGTTACTTGGTTTAACTGCATATCCTACGCCAGGTTTCTCTTGCCACTGGGAAAGCAATGAAGAGAGACCTCTTCATTTGATTAGTTTACTTGATCAACAGATGTACCAGTCACTTTTATTCTTCTCTAAATCTTCATCGAAGAGCCAGTTCTGGTTTCCATTTACGTTTAACCTCAGGACTTTGACAGAAACGAACAAACAAAAAAAGCCACAAAGTAACTATGGTCACCAGTTGAATCCAGGCACTGAGATTCAGCCCAGGCCTGGGGGATGGCCCTCAGCTTTCATTTTCCTTTCCTTCAGTTTTCAGTGTGCCAACTTCCACTGCATTACAGGGCTATGAACTTCTGCTTGTACCCTCACCAACTCGATAGTCTACATGTCTTTCTTGGTAAATCCCAGATAGAGCAGCCCGCAGTATTTCCCCTTACGTTATACCCGAGGATGCTTGTGATGCATCTGATGCTGGACCCGGGACTGCGTATGGTGTGAGTCCATGCATTGCCCTTGTTGGGTGGAAGACAGTAAGAGAAAAATGACACAGTATTGAGCCTCACTGTATGCCAGACACCTCAAATACACCCAATCTCATTTACCGCTGCCCCCCATACCTCCAACCCTGAGTAATAGCCAAATCAGAGCAGCTCAGAGAGGCTAAGTGCTTCATGCTTCTGCACTTTGCATTACTGTTGCCCCTACATGTCAAAGAAAGACTGAACTCGGGTAAGTAAGTGATTTATTGCCTTTAACTCTGCATTCGGTTCTGTGCTCCAAACCTATTGTGTTTGAAACATGGCTCTAACTTAGCTAGTTTGCATTAATGAATCTTCATGGCCAGTTTTCGAATACTCAAAATTTTGATACCCTGCCCCCCAAAAAGAGAAACAACATTGATTCTCCTGAGGATGTACCTCGTGAAAGCCAGGTGCTCAGCCTTTCCAGGTGGTGGGAGTGA